AGCTCAGGCAATGAAATCCGATCAATAGAGGACACTCATCCCCAGTGAAAGCAACAGCTAATGCTCTGTGGTTCCTGGTGGATACGCTGTCATTGTATTTTAAAACCACAAGGAATTCCCTGTGTCATCAGCAATGACCACTTTATTGCTGCTGAATTAGGAAATGAGCGAGGCTAAAGGTACATTTGAATTCCACAAACTCATTCATGTAATCCATCTTCTAATGTAGGTGATCACCTGGCTATCTCTTGGACTTGGAGAGGGGCAGAGAAAGAAAAACAAGATCTTCTCTGAGCTTCAACTTACCCCCAGTATCAGACCATGGTGTTTTCTGCTCTTTCCACTGAAACAAGGCAAATTAAGGCTGATTACCAGCAAAACATAAAGGAATGTGCTAATCCACATTTATGCCTATTCCTCTGGTCAGAAATCCAAACACAAAACAGAACTGTAAGTTTTCACGAAGTATCACACTTTCCAACGTTTGCTAGACTAAAAATTTCCTTTACTTAAAGATGAAAATTCTCTTTCAAAGTAACTCCATTAATTTTTGTGAGACAAGGATTTTAAAAAATGAATGGCTCCAGCTTGTAGTCAATCATTTCATTTTTGCCTGAAAAAGCTGATTTGTTCAAACAGGGAAACTATATAGCACACCCTGCTCCACCAGTACTTTAAAAATCTTCTTATGTCATGGAATATTATGGATGAATCAGAAGTTTTAACAAAATGAAAATTACCTAAGTTAATTTTGCAGTTCTACTACCTATCCTACATTATATACTATCTTAAATAGCATCAGATCTTTTAGTTCAGTCAAAGAAGTGAACAAATTTCACTGAACTACAACAGAAAACTCCATATGCAAATATGAAAAGAGAATAGAAGAGCAATTTGAAATAATTCATTTCTCTCTTGCTTAATGAATTATTGATTTGTACTTTCCTTTTGAATGATGGTGCTCTGATGTGATAAATATTGATTTGAATCTTTATACAAATATTGTATATCATCAGCAGGTTATGGCAACAGAATAATACATAATGAGATAAACCTGAAGGAATGGAATAATGCAAAAAATATTATGAGATGCCATGAGAGTGTACTTGTTGGGGGTTGCATATGTAAAATAGCAAATGGAAATGAAAGTAATATATCCAGGGGGTATGATAATGATGCAGAATTATAGAAAGTTTACATTTGGGTTAATGCTGAACAGGGAACATTTAAAATGAAAAATAAATACTTTCTGCTTCTAGTAATTCTTCTAACTTGACATTTCTTGCAGCCACAAGTGCAGAGCTGTCATAGAGTCAGAGAGCTCTCCTACACTGCACATGTACACAAGCTTTAACTTCATGCGCAGCCATTCATGACAATGGGAACTACACAGTCAAAAGACAAAAGAAAAGTGCTGAGAGCAGTAAACACATAGATAATCCTGTCCACCAAACAACTTTGAATTCCCTTTATGCACCATTTATTTCAGACAAAAAAGCTGCTGAGAGATTTACGTCAAAGTGATTTCCACAGCTCAGCTGCTCAAGGCTGGGGATATGATTGAAGCACTGATCTACACTTTCCCTGCAACCTGTCTCTACCCCTCTCATGACATTCCTGGGGATGGGAGACCTGATATGCTCTTCCTCAGGTCCATTTCTGGGATCACCTGGCTGTATTTTGTCAGCTTGGGTAAAGGGAAAAGGCCTGTGTTTGCTGAGACAATGAAAAGAACATTTATTTCTTTTTTCCCTTGGACAACAGTAGTACCCCAATACTGGTTATTCTTCCTTTGGGCTATGTGCAGTGAGCAGACTGGGAAGATCTCCATCATCCTTCTCCCAAGCACACTTAGAAGCAGGGAGCAATCCTATGATATTCACATGGGAGATAATGTGAACATCATGCTCAGGGTGTCAAAATATCCTGGTCTTTGTCAGCACAAAAGAAATACATATCCTGATCTAAAATACTCAGTTTTAATGCTAACCCCTCAAGGAGCATGGCTGCTCTATGACAGCAAGCACTCGCTAACTTGTACATTCACAACTATTGACCTATAACCAGTATCCTCCTAGACTGAGAAAATAAAAAATATTGTTGTGCAAGTAGGTCCTAGCACACATGTTCAGATTAGCAGAAACAAAGCTGGGCCAATGAGAGGTGATTACTGTGCTCCCTCTCTCTCCAGAATCACCACTTGCATGCCCAGCATCATCCAGGGTGAGCTGCTATTTGTCTTGGTGTAGGTCAACAGTAGAATAAGACCCCTTTGATCAGAAACAAGCCAGCATTCATTTGTGCATTTCCACAAACACTGACCTGCTTATTGTAAACCCCTGACTCAATAAAGTACCTGCAGGTAGAACCAAACATATTGCTAACTATGTTAGGCAAGGTGTACACGCAAGAATAGAAAAGCAAATGTGTATAGCTACCCACACCACTGATACTTCTTTTCCAAACACATGCTTTTGTCATTGACCACACTCTTTTCAAGTGCCTCTCCAGGCTCAATGGTCTATCAAGAGCAGGTTTGAATGAGATTCCCCTGACAATTTTTCACAAGATGTTTTCACAGGAGCAGTGGGCTAACAGAGTTGAAATCTTAGCGTTTCCTAATTTCACCAACATGAAGTATCAAATTTCTATCATTCTCTCAATTCCCAGGAAATATTTCTCATTTTAATTTAGGAAAAAGTAATTTCTTTTTTTTTTTTTTAACCATTATAATTAAAAAAAAAAAAAAAAAAGAAAGAAAAAAACAAAAAGAAAGAAAGAAACAAACAAACAAAAAAAACCCCACACAGAAAATATCAATTTAAAACCAACTAGCAAGTACACTGAGACTAAAGAAGGTATAATTCATATATTTTTTACCTTCCCGCATACTTATCAGTGTTTTGGAACATGGTGTGTACACAGCTCTACTTAGTCAAGGGTAGATCAACATCCTGTGGTCCTACATATGGAGTGGGAGAATTAAACTTGATGTCCCAGTTTACATATAGTTGGGAAAAAATAGATCTCAGAGCTGCATACTCATAGTCATTATGGCATTTGCATTATGACAAATTTAAAATTGGTATTCTAGGTTACGGGCAGTGCTATAAAGCTTGCTTTCCATGCTGCACTTTGCAAGCTCATTTAAAATGTGCTCTTCCACGACATGATGAGAACACAAATTATAATTAGGAAAGTAACCCAAGCAGAAAATTAGTCTGGAAGATTAGTCTGAGAGTGTTCCTGGAGACAAAGGGATCCTGTGTCTTAACTTTACTGTCTTGGTATAGAAAGAGATTGATACAGAAGATAAAGATGAGGACACATTTGGCTTTCAGAAAGAAAAAGGCTTTGCAAGTATGTACACAGGTAAAATCCATAATGTTCAAGTTGTGCAAACAGTAAAACAGCACCTAATGCCAGTTCTGTGGTTGCTCACATCATTGTCTTTACCTATTTGTTGTTGTTGTTTGTTTGTTTTGTTTTTATATCCAGAATACTCTGCAAAGGTAAAAATTCATCTTTATGAGAAGAAATAAAGGGCTGCCAAATGCCACACTGTACCCAGAGCCTACTTCCACATGCAAATGCACCCAACACTTTCTACCAGCGTGAGGCTAGCTATAAATGTTGAGATCTGGAAAAAAAAAAAAAAAAATGGTTTCAAAGCATCATTCTGAAATGAGGTCTGGATAAAAAAGCAGAAAGTGTCAACAAGTGCTTGCTTCCACTGGATAGTAAAACAAATTATGTTGAGGAACATAAGAGCAAGCAAGAAAAATCTGAGAATGGTACTACTTAAGATCTCTTCTGGAAAATTTTTGAGGGATTTAAGAGGAAAGACAAATAAAAATAAAAAGAACTAGAACTAGGTAATTCTATAACTTCTAGAAAGGCTGGAACAATCCAGTAGTCAGAAAACTATACCTACCTTTGAGGTGTGTCATCTTGTAGAAAGGAGACCTGGATTCTACTTGGTGGTTATGTCGTATTCAAAGGGAAGGATCATAGTTTTCTGTTAAATCTTATTTACTAGTTTACTAGGGGTTGAGATCCTTGAGGTATCTGGTAATACATAGGTTGCTGTGAAAGTAATGCCTCCCATTTATTTTCATTGAAATTACAACAAAGAACACTAATAAAACTAATTGATAGAGTAAATTCTCAGTAACGAAAAAGTATTTTTCAACATGGTCACCACCATGAGCTGTGCACTTTTGCTAATCATGAAAGCAGATCCTGTGTGTCGCGCTTGTAAAAATCTGCACCGATGGAAATGACACGCTATCACAGTCACCACTGCTGAAACACACCTGCCATTGCCTCTTTGTGCTCACATCCAGTCTTTGGTCTCTACAGATGTTCAGCAAATGTCATTGAGTGTCTATGAGTGCCATTTCTTCTGCATGGAGGAATTCAATTCCACACCTTTGCTTCATATGCACTTCCATGTCAGACACCATTGTTTCAAACTTACCCTCTACTACCACCGGCCACATGGTAGCATAGTGTAATGGGATACTGATGGAAGGTTCAGTCTCTGCTGCCATATCACCAACACCTCCTGGTGAACCATGACATTGCCTTTTCCCTGACTATGGACTGTTGTCCAGAACCTTTCTTGATTTCATGTTCTGTCTACTGCAGCTCCTTTTTTTAGATTAGAGAATTACTCTCTAAGTGCAGTATCTACTCTAGATGTGTTCATCATTCCTTTTCAATTCTTTTCTATCTGAACTAAATAAAACAAGAGGGATAGAGGTTGCAAATGAGAGCAGAAACAGCAGCAGGAAAGGGTTACCCTACTGTTTTTATGGGATGTTACTTGATGATTTGGGTAATGTACAAAGACACCAAAACGCATTCGACTCTGACACAATCTCAGCCCCAAATCCATCATATTGATTCTGCAAGAACCCAAATGATCCTAAGCAGCTGGAGAACAGGCCTGCACCATGTTCATCTAGGTGGCACATGTACTTCTATTGCCTACTCACAGTCTTGTCGGAGCATCTTGTCTCAATGACAAAATAATGTGGAGAATCAGGCAGCAACTGGTCACAGCAATAAGAAATCCAGCACAGGAAAATGCTCCAGGAAGTGCTGCTTGGACCTAGGAGAAAAAAGCAGGTGCACTGTGGCTGCTTGATCATTCCATATCAAGACTGAACAACATTATGACTATCAGTTTCTCATTCATTTATTTAAGAAATTAAAATGTACTACTTTCAACGTGTCCAGGAATTTGGGAAAAGGGAGTTATAATTTCACTATAATATGTGGTCTGAGGCATGGTGAAAACATGGATACTGTGTGTATTCAAATCCATGACTGGCCAGAATGTCCTCCAGCAGCAGCATTTCATGCAGACCTTAATACCAAACTTCTGTGTAGAGGTAATTTTAAAACTTGTTTGGAGTAAGTAGGTGTTAAAGAACATTTCTGGGGCACAGAAACTCCTGATGTGGGCTGTAGAACAAACTAAAAGCTCCTAAGCAAAAACTTTATGTGTCATCTTACTATTGAAAAGTACATAAACACCTTCGTGGCTAAAGCTCCTCTCTTAACTTGTAACACTGGGACATGTGTTGCTAATTTCCAAGATCCGTTTTGCAAGTTTTAGGCAAACCATTTTTTTTTATTATTATTATTTTTTATTTGTATGCAAAATGTCAAAATCATTTACAGAGGGAAAGCATTTCCTGCAAAGAAAGAAATTGGGAAAAAAAATGCAAATTAATTTTTGGTTCATGTCAGAGCCTCTGCATGGGTTTTATTTTTGATGAAGAATAAAGAATATATAATCATCGACTACAAAAATAGCAAGGATGTTGCAGAAGGACTGGGCAAATGGAAATTTCAGTTTTGATTATTGATTCCTCTCCTATGCATTTTCAGAGAAATACCTTCTGGAATATAGCTATGTATGATAAGCTAATTTAATCTTAAATCTCTGGTTTGGTGACATTTACAGGATATTTAACACTTTCCAAAACTGTGACAGTATTTATACTCTTGGATGCAGTTTTAGGAGCCTACTTTCAAGTTTTAAAATACTGACTCATAGACTGCTCATAATGTGAGAGAAACATCCTTTAGAACATGTCTAAGATGACAAGAATAATGGTGTTAGGCTAAAAACCTGGTTGAAGAAACAAAAGCCTACCAGGAAGGCAGATAATCTCCTTGTGTAAAACTGCATAGGGTATGCTGCAATCTCCTTATGAAAGGATTGAAACCAAGGGACATCTTGGGCTGTACAAACACTTACTGAGATGGAACTGCAGCTCTGTGGTGGATTACTGGCTGGGTGGATGGAGAACACCCACGCTCAGCTGCAGCATTTAGCCAGCATGTGGAAAAAGTTATTATTTACATTTTATTATCTAACTAGGCAATAGCATTTCTAAAAAGTTCAGTGCTTCTGTTTGGTGGAGTTCTCTGAATCCAAGAAGCAGGATATCCTGTAAATACAATTTTCTGCCTTCTCCATTTAAGAATGCTTGTTTCTTGTTATACAAACCTGAGTTCTGATGATTAAAAAAAAAAAAAATCTCTATTTTTGACACTAGAACAACAGCAAAAACAAACAAAAAAAAACCTCTAAAAAAAACCACTTATATTATTAATTGCAATGATTGAAAAGAAATGGCATAACAAGCCTTGTAGTTTTGCTAGCAAAGGACTAGGCAGACCCATAGTTATTCTTCTTTGAAAAAATAGCACATTATGTGAGCTCCTTTTCAGGATTTTAGAAATTACTAGGAAATCTAGTGTTTTTCTGAAAGCTTGCAAGCCATGCTATGATCTTTTTGGTGAATTTTGCAATAGTTGGTAGGACTGAGGAAACTAGAAAAGCTCTGCTTTCCTGGGGCATTTCAGCAGTTCCTCCTTTCCACCCTCCTACAGATTTTTTTAAAAATGGTATGATTTATCCAGACTGGCCAAATGAAAGAAAATGTAGAAGCGTGTCTTACAGCCTCAGGCTTTCAAGCTCAGAGAGGAAGGGATTAAAGTTCCAGATGCACATGTGCACCCATGCTGTCAGAGCGTGTGGTCCCAAGATTATGTATAATGCCCAGATGAGAAATTTTCCCTTAGATTTCAAACTCACAGATTGCTCTCTTGTTCCTCTTCTCTTGCTGCCTGACTACTGCATTTTTCATTGATGACACAACTATACCTTCTGTTAAAGACACTGTTCAGCCAATATCCAGGAGCATTTTGAAGAGACGAGCCACGATTATTCTCCTTTTGTTAGGATTTCTTTTAAGATCTCTAGATGTATAGATACACCATTAAACTAAATCTGTGTCCACATTAGTGCTCTTCAGCATCCCCAAAACATCAAAAAGAACTAACTGCAGAAAAAAAAAAAACCCTCACATTTATTTCTGTCTTCAGTAGCATTTACACAGAATCACAGAATTATAGGGGTCTGAAAGGGCCTCTGGAGATCATCCAGTCCAATCGTCCTGCTAAAGCATGTTTATTTCAGTGGGTCACACAGGAAAGCATGCAGGTGAGTTATGAATATCTCCAGAGGAGACTCTACCACCTCTCTGGGCAGCCTATGCCAAAGCTGTGTGGCTCTCAAAATAAAGATTTTTTTAAATCATATTAATATAAAACTTCCTGTTTTCCAGTTTGTGACCATTGCCCCTTGTCCTGTTACTGAGCATCATCAAAAAAAGCCTAGCCCCCATCCACTTAACTCCAGTCCTGTAGATACTTATAAGCACTGATAAGGATCCCCTTTCAGCCTTCTCTTCTCCAGGCTGATGTGTCCCAGGTATTTCAACCTAGCCTTTCACGGGAGATGCTCCAGACTATTAATCATCATTGTGGCCACCTGCTGGACTCTTTCTTGGAAATCCCTATCTTTCTTGAACTCCTGAGGCCAGAACTGGACAACGTACTCCAGAAAAGGCCTCATCAGGGCAGAGTGGAGGGGGATGATCACCTTCCTCAATTCTCTGGCCACACTTTTTACTGCAGCCCAGGATGTCTTCTTGACCACAAGGGCATACTGCTGAATTTTGGTCAACTGTTGTCCACTGGGACACCCAGATCCTTCTCTGCAGAGCTCTTTCCAGCAGATCATCTCCTAACTTTTACTGATGCATGTGATTAATCCAACTCTTGCCCTTGTTGAACCTCATAAGTTTCCTCTTTACCTAGCTCTCACTGAATGGCAGCAATGGCTTCTAGTGTGTCAGCCACTCCTCCCAGCTTTGTATCACCTTCAAACTTGCTGAGAGTGTATTTTATCCCTTCATCCAGATCATTTATGAAAATATTGAACCAGATCAGATACAGTATTGAACCCTAGGGAACAGCACTAGTTACAGTCCTCCAACAGGACTCTGTGCTGCTGATTACAACTCTCTGAACTCTTCCAGTCATCCAGTTCTCAGTCCACCTCAGTCTTTCAGACTGTCCTCCCAGGAGAGGTGCTCCATCCCTTGGATGAAACTCCGATATTTTGTTGGTCACCATTGTAAATTAGCCACTGCAGCAGATAACCATCTGAACACCAAGGCAACAACATGACTCAAGCTCCAAGATCTGCCTCTGCTGGAGGCTGGAGGATGTAGGGGAAGCTGCAGCCTGATTCAACACTGGATCACCATAGTTAAGTGCAAACAGAATGACCAAACACTTTCTAGTTTCTTTAGTTTCCCATGTCTTTTATTTTAGCTTGGAATTGGTGTGTTGTGCAAGATCCAGACTACTAAAACTTCCTTACTGAAATGTTAAAGGAGAAACGGAATGAAAAGGAAAAGAGAAAATAGTTTTAGTGTTGTTTTGTACTACTCTGCTTTTCAGCATCTTCCAGGTCTACTGGTGTCCCTTTAAGAATGCTCTTATCTTTGTTTATAGAAGCTAGCAGCTTTAAAAATACAGTAATTAACATGTTCATAGCGTAAATGCTAATCATTTAACATGTCAAGCATTTTCATCCCCTACTGAATCAATATGAATTATTAAAACAGACTTTTTAAGACCTTTAAAATCAACGCTCTAAGCATGCACTAAAGAACCACACCACTGACATATGGGAGCACCAAGTTATAAATTCATGTGTTAGACTGTCTGACACACTTGTTCTCTTTGATGAGGAAAAGAAAAGACAAAAACCTCCCCCCAAAATTTTATATTCAGAATTACATAATCTGTATGCATAAGTGAAATACATTTGTGAAAGGTTTTGTAATTTATTGTATAGAAAGCCCTAAAGAGTGAAAAAAATGAAAGAAAAAACAGACATAACATATTCAGGTTAAGAAATAATATTTTCCATAGCAGAACTGTGTGACAGTCCAAAAAGATCTTGAAACAATAAATATATAAATTTAATAAAAAACAAATCCAAAGGGTGAAAGTTACATTTCCCAGTTTATAATAAAATGCTTTCAACTTTGCTATTGATCATGAAAAGTACTGTATATGATTTGGAAATTAAACAAACAGACAAACAAAAAACCAAAAGAATTAGTAATTAACACTAACACCAAAAATGAAGGTCTTCCCCATCTTTATTGCAGAAAGGATAAGAAAAATGTTTATATTTTCAAATGTCTGCAAATTAGAGAAGAATTTATTAGGCATGCATCTTACCTTGTATCCAGCTGAAGTACTCTTGTACTTTAAGAGACATGAAGCAACTTCTGTGTATATATATATATGCCTGCATCAGACGGCTATTTCTTGATCAACGCATTGAAATAAGATAACAAAACTTTTTTTCTTACTGTTACAGATACAGAAGAAATGAAGTTTTGCAATCAGATGCAAGCCATCGCAAAAACAGTGGTTTCAAATAATTTTTTCATATCAGATTGCACAGTGCTGGTGCTAACATTTTGTTCTACTTGAGCAATCAGATAACGGCCTGGATGTTAATAACCGAGGAGTTGTTCTTCCTATGTGAAAAGCTTTTATGCCCAATAAATTAACTGTTAGGTGTTCTTCACAAAGTCGCAGTACTTCACTGCACCTATACCACATTTTCAGTGGGAGTGCAAAAGCAGAGAACCCTGAAGCATATACAGTTAAGCTAACTCACACCAGCTTGGAATGTAGCCTCTTCTATATCTTGATCTACTTGATCTCAGGTAAAAGTTGAAGCTCTACCTGGTTGATACTAAATCCTTTCTTTATTGTGAGAAAGAAGGAAACTCATTTCAGAAAAGTTAAAATTTTACTAGATGTGTGTACTCAGAAATGACGTATGAGGGTTTGTATTCTGATAGGAGATAAGAGCTTCTTTCCTACCTTGAAAAGTAGATCTTAAACCCACATCACCCTTCACCAGGAGAAAGTTCAGCACAAAGCCTCAGATGCTTTCAGATTAGCATAAATTATAGCGAATAGACAAATGGAAGATGAAAAACTTCAGCTCTGAATGAAGTAAGTCAGCCACTGTAAGGGGCATTTTCATGTCTGTGGGAAGAAGCTTTTTTATTTACTTTATGTTTGGTGGGAATATCTTGCAGTCAGTCTCTTGTGATTTCAAAGCAAAAAATATTTTCACAACAGGACATGAAATATGCATGAGAGATGTGAGCATGGTCTACTGCTTTCTAAATCATCTAGTGATAGTCCTTCAACAACTCTTGGTGAGCTATTACACCATCCTCACCACACTTTTATTTTTTTTTTTCTGAGAACTCAGAAGCACTGTTACACCTGAATGGCCATCTGACTTCTCAAAACTGTTTGGAAAGGATTCATGCTTCACCAGGTTGGTGTGGGTGCTTGGAGCTCCAATACGTGCCACTGAAAATAAATACAGACAGACTTAAAAACCTGGAAGGTGGGAGAGCTGAAATCTTAGTAGATTTCCCTACTTACATTCTCTTTATCCGAACATAAAGTAATTTCATGTTCTTTCCTTTCGTTCTGTTGACTTTTATCTTATTGTACCTGAAATATCTGCTCCTGAATTCAGAGGTCCAGAGACAGAATCACGGCCTAAGTACAAATTGAATCACAATTTGCAATTTGTATTGGAATTTCACAACACAAAGAGCATAACAATGAAACCCTAGACCAAAATCTTAATAAAGTAGCTTTGGGAAATCGGTAAACCAATCATTATAAGAATGACTGGGGGTAAATGTGAATCTCCCTGACTATGAGCAGCGTGAAGAGGTATGAAGAACTTGCACTTAGATTTTCTTCAGCGATAGTGAAAGGACCAGATGAGGCTGAACTCTTAAAGGGAAAGGAAGAAGAGGTACAAAGTAGCGTGATGGTGCTGTTGATGAGGATGCTCTTGGGAAGTGATGGCTGAGTTAGCCACTGTGTGAATATAACCAAATAGTACAACTCTTAAGCAACTCTAGAACTGTATTTATGTAATAGAAGTAGCAGCCCTGTGTGAGAAGAAGAATGCAGAAATATCTCAATATGGCTGAACCACAGATGCTGGAAACAGGAATTTTCTATAATACATTACAGATCCTCACCAAGTATGAGTCTCTACAGATTTTAAGCATAAAACTGATCAGTGGATAATGTGGGTCTCCAAAGGGTTCAGTGGGTTCATTTGCTCTAGCTAAGACTTTCAGTGCTAAGAGTTGCCTAGGCTTAAGCATCCCATAAACTTACATCACGCTAACGTCTTCTATGAGATGATTTGCTACAATTTGTTTTTGCAGGGATGTAAATAGATATGCAGTATCAGAATATGGTAAAAGGATTATCACCTACGAAAGTTTAAATTAACAACATAAAAAGTGGTCCAGATAGAAAGCAAATACAAGAGATTTCTGATAGATTACTTGATTGTGCACAACTTCAAACTGAGTGTCTTTAATGTAAGGAATTATTCTTTAGTGAAAGAAATACTGAGCAACAGAATACATTGCTCATTTAATGTCCATATTATTTTTTTTCTAGGATTTTTCGTTAAAAATTATGCCTTTCTATTCTAAAACAATGCTAATTTGCTCATTAACATATGAGGAAATTGGTGATAAAGTACAGCTCTTAAGAATTCATGGCTATAGTTCAAGCAAATGAAATATTATGGCAAAGTAAGAATATATAAGCCTGCCTGATATTGTCTTAGTTTAGATTCTGTACTATGCAAAGAAGGAAACACGAAAAACGTCTAGAATTTGTCTTATATCTTGCTGTCAGCTTTGAGTACCTATTGACTTTGAAGAGGCATGGCCAGTAGTTTGTCATTTCTGTGGGAAAGGTATGGTGAGTGACATCTCTATTAGGGCTGCAGACATGGTGAAGTATACAGTATCTACTGTGACAAACTATCTGCTGAGAGGGAAAATCATAGGCCTGTCATGCATATCTGATCCTCTAATTACACAAATACACACAGACACTGTAAAATAAGGGACTTCTTCAACAGGGAATGCTTTCAGAAGGAGCAGGCTTTCAAATCTCTGCAGGTCCATCCTTTTTAGAGTATGACAGCATTGTGCATGTTCTAAAGATTAATTCACACAGTGCTGATATTCTTAGGATTAGAATATTAGAAAGAGGAACAGGAAAAGGAAATGATGTTATATAGCATCTTGTTTTGAAGACCAGAAAAAAAGCTAAGGATAGAACCCTTCAAAATTGACCATGGACCTGAAGACACAATTATCTCATTGGGGAATCTCAGAAGTTGGCAAATTTGGCTTTCAGTTGTCTTATTTGTGGTGTTATAGTACTTTTGACCCCATCTACCCGGGAAACGATTAACACCGAAAGGAGACCTGTCATCTCTGAAATAAACCTGGCTTTATTCCTCTTGGCCAACATCAGATATGGCTGACATCACAGGATAGAAACAGAGAATTTGAATTCAACATAAAAAGCTGTTCTGGATTCCCGTTTTCTAGTGAAAAAAAGAATCAAGTCTCTCATATATGCAGAAGTGTTATTCATCATGTATTTCACATGAGCTAGAGATCCAGGTCATTAACTTCTGAGGGAAAACAAAACAAAACAATACAAAACAAAAACATAGCAAGAATTATGTACTGCAGTAGGTATTGCAGCAGAAATCTCTAAGAGATCCTAACTGCATTCACTCAAATACTATCATCCCATGAGCTCAATCGGAAAGTGATGCATTTCTGGGATTGATGCTGTCCATGCCATAGGAGAAAAAAAGTATGGACAAAATCTTACTACCATCTGTCCTAACTGATGGACGGGAAGAAGCTTGTGCTATATTTGAAAAATGCTGAAAGTTGCAGTAATAGATTTTGGGACAGACCGTCTGTTAGACCGGTGGCTGCATTCACACATTGTGAAAAATGAGATGAAGAGAAATAATCTGCAAGAGTATAGGAAGAAGAAATCATTTCTGCCTGAGCCCACGCCTGGATAGGATTCCTTAAACCTCTTCCAGACATCAGGAATTTTAGATCTACGTCTATGTGAATATTCAAATGCTTTCTGGGATCCCTGACCCTTTTTTTTTTTTGCCCATCAGTGCAATACATTTTATCTAATTGTCATCAGCAAGCATCCGGCCTTCAGCTTCTGCAAGAGGACAAGGCTATAGTTCTCACACAGCTCCTCTTACACATTAGTTAACAAGGCTGAAACAAGTCAAGGATGATGATCTATGGCATAATGTGAGACACTCTAAAGAGAGCAAATAGTCTTTCTGGTGAGAACAGGTTTGGGGGCAGTTTTTCAGTGATTGTGGTAGATCCATGGTCTTGTTAGGACTTCTGAACACATGGTCTGAATTCTCTGAATTTGTGAGCTATCATGACCACAATCTTGCTCAAACCACCAAAGCCAGGTTGCAGAGGAAACACTGTGTTGGATGGACTAAAAAAAGCCAAGGAAGATGGGTCACACTGAGACTTGGGTTAGAAGCTTGGGCTCAGCACCTCCATTGACTGGGACCAGCCGGTACCAGAGACAAGAAACAAAACATAGACATCTATTTATTTCATGCCCATTTGTCTCAGCTGAATGTGAGACACCTTGGGAACAAGATTGCCAGCAGCAAAGAAAGCACAGAATTTTCAGCTCTGCAGTCTATGGGCAGGCAGAGAGTCAGCTCCAAAGTGGAGGAAATGTAAGGCACTGACACTCCTATGCCTCCTGTGAGATGGATTCCTTTATTCTGTTAGAAAAGAAAAAAAAAGAAAAAGAAAAAGAAAAAAAAGTAGAAGAATGTTCATTGTGGGATCAGCAGACGGGGCTGGAGACATTAAATACCTCCTTTTGCCTCCCAGCAACACAGTCGTGCAGCAAGGGATCATCTCCAAATTACTGTCCCTGCAAGAGAAGTGTTCCATGCATCTCTCTGCTTAACTTCCTTTCTTCCTGTGGAAATACTGTTATTTGAAGCAGTTTGCATTAAACAATTTTTTCTGCTCTTGTTGCAAAAAGGTTTTATCTACATGGCTTTCTATTTCTCATGCAAGATTTCCAGCTGCTCTGTGTCTCAGTTCAACAAGCTCAAGACAAGCCTCACAGCCAGAAAGTAGTCTAAACATACGGACATAACGTTGGTGGATCTCTGGCTTTCAGCAGCTTTGCAGTGGCTCTCCTCACTCTGCAATTCCACTCCCAGCACCAAAATCTGTTGTTAAAATATGAGCTTTAATTACATGGTGCCAACTGTAGCAATAGGAAAACAACCTGCCTTTCTAGGTGCCACATATGAGTGTAAATTTCAGTGTTTTTCAGTGATTGGTCAACTGAAAATAGTAGACGAAAGGATTATCAATGTATTGAGCGTAAAACATTGCCACCGACAAAAATTTCCTTCTTTTTCTTTTTTAATCTTCAACAGAATCCATTATAAATAAATGAATTCATTTTCCATGTGAAGCCTCAATACTAATATCGTCCCTTTGTGAGAAGTCCCTTTATGACAGAAGTGTGTATGGCAACTGAAATAAGCTTTGCTAAAACACAGAGGATTCTGTTTTTCATTTGCTCACCAAATCTGACTTCACCTGCTTTAAGACAAACAACTCTCCATCTCTAATCAAAGACTTGTCTTCAGATTAAAGCTTTCAGTTCACAATATGATGAATACAAGTGGAGCCTCTCTCCACTGCATGGCCAGGAGTCTGGCACTAGCAGTGTTTTCTTTTCCACTCAGACTCCAGCAGAATTCTTATTGACT